TTATGGATGGATTCCGAAATCAATGTCTACATCTATCATTATACCAATAGTTAAATCATACAAAAAGTCTTTCGTTAACCCAAACAACTATCGAGGTATTAGAGGTATATCGAGGTATATCGAGGTATTAGTATACCTGTTATAATAACTATTTTTACAAAAATTCTAGAAGATTTGATTTTAATAATATGTCCGGAGATTAAGAACACTCACCTGCTACAATTTGGATTTAAATTAAATTCTTCAACCCTTCATACAGAATTTGTAATTAGTAAAACTATTAAACATTACAATAGTAAAAGTTCACCTGTTTATTTATGCTCCTTAGATGCAGAAAAAGCCTTTGATAGCTGTTACTGGGAAATTCTTTTTACTAAGTTTTACTTCAATAAAAAACTACCTTTGCATATAATTAGGGAAATCTTTTTATTATACTATAATAGCAGTGCAATTGTCTCCAAGGTTACAAATCAAATGAGTTTTATCTTAAAGAAGGAGTAAGCAAGGGTTCAGTTCTATCACTGCGCCTTTATAATATTTCTTCCCAGGACCTTCTAAAAACCATTAAAATTAAAGTAATGTAGGTAGGTCTATATATGGAAACTTCACTGGTGTGGTAACGTATGTTGATGATATTATACTTTTAAGCTCAACTTTATCTGGAAAAGTTAATAAAAACTTGTAATGTATACTGTAATTCTAATTGCATAAAACTAAACCCTAGAAAAACAGAGTTCCCCCTGACAGGTAAAAGACAGTTACAAAGCTGCACAATATCTCTCGATGGTAATTGAATAAATTTACACAAACACTTTGGGTATACATAGGGTACAGAGACTCAAACACTTTGCGTATAGATAGAATACAGAGCACTCTACATTTGCCTCATTTGATCGGGTAAACATTGCTGAAAAAATATCTAATTTTCGGGCAGCTGTCCAAACTCTTTCAATCTGGAATCCGTTTTGCTCATCCAAAATCACACAATTATATCAAACCGTGATTATACAAACATTAATTTACGGTCTGAAACTTTGTAAAACCAATGACGTAACAATGCAAAACCTAGACAGAATCGGAATTAAAATCGCATTGAAATTGCTTTTCATTCTTTCAAAACATTGCAAAAATTATTTACACTCGTTATTTAAAATTCAACACATCAAAATGCATTCACCAGAATAAACTGAACTTATTTATTCGTCTTTTGGAGAACAAATCGACAAATGATATTATTGAACCTCAGCTTAACAATCCAATGGTAAAACAATCTTTTGCAGATGATGTCCAGCAGGTGTGCCATAATAGTGGACTAAGTCTTGAAAAATTAAGGAATAAAAAAACTCGATTACGTTTTGTGGTGGTAAGGGATAAAATCCCAAAAAATAATTAAGAAAATAATAAAATACTCATTAGATTGGTGGAACGTAAAAGAACAGAAAACATTTTCAAGCAAACTCTAGAAGAAAACATTCCAAAATGATTTCTAGAAGAAAACATTCCAAAATGATTTCTAGAAGAAAACATTCCAAAATGATTTCTAGAAGAAAACATTCCAAAATGATTTCTAGAAGAAAACATTCCAAAATGATTTCTAGAAAAAAACATTCCAAAATGATTTCTAGAAGAAAACATTCCAAAATGATTTCTAGAAGAAAACATTCCAAAATGAAAATTTCTATTCTTCCTCTCAAACTTTAAACAATTTTTTACTTTTACCTTGTAAAAATATTTACAAAAGGTGGTTAAGAAAAATAATAATAATAATTAATAAATAATTAAAAAAAATATTAATAATAAATAAAATTTACAAAAATAAAAATATATACTTAATAAGAGTACAGTTTAAACAGCTTCTTAAAAATGACTTTTTAAGAAGTTAATAGAATGTAAACTTTTTCATTTGTATTCTTCTACAAAACAGTAATACTAACACTTTGCATTTCCCAACGTCCCAGTGAAAAAAAAAATGCTATGACGAGCTTTTTTTTCACTGGGATGTTGAATCATGGAAATGTTATGAAAATTTCAAATATAAAATAATAAAATCTAAAATACAATCAAAAATCTAAAAGTTATAAAAAATAGTTTTAAAAAGTCGCATATTATGACGTCAATAAGAAGTTCATTTAAAGATGAATAGCTGTGGTGCTGTGGCTAAAGTAATGATTTTATTTGTTTTTAGATACCGATATTAGTGAAAAGGCATCGTAAATCTTCTCGTAAAATGCTCTTCCGTGTTGCTCTGTGGCGAAACTGTCAGGTCATTTCGGAGCACTTTGATAATTAAAAAAAAAAAATCTCATATCTGGTTAATTAATTTTAAAATCATCTCGGATATCTTTGTACTCAAATAAATTTATTTGTTCTATCACAACGGCAGGTGAAACGTTTTAATTTACAAAGAAAATCATCATTATCTACATCGAGTTGTCGAGAACTCATTTGCGGATACAATTTATACTTTAATATTTTTTAATAATCTAAAATTTCTATAACGATTATAATCGTGGCTGTTCATAGAAGTTTAGCGCGACATTTTATTGATTATTTTTGACACCATTTTTTAAATTTAAATTTTTTTTTATTATAGAAATTACTAATAATTCCTTAATTATTCTATTATAATTCTTAGAACAATGTCACTCTAATAATGTTATAAAGTATAATTTAAATAATTATAATATATTCTTAGTCAAATATTGGGAAGTTTATTGGAAATTACCTTGGTTCGAATGTGATTTTTCGAATCTAACTTCAAATCAGTTTTCAGATTTGACTTGATTTAAAATTTCAAAGCTTTACAGGGGCTTATATAAAAAGCCTCTGCGATTGGGCCTCAAATACCCAAATGCATGCATGCATGCATGCATACATACATACATATGTACATACATACATATGTACATACATACATACGTTCATACATACATACATAAATACATGCATACATACATACATACATACATACATACATACATACATACATACATACATACATACATACATACATACATACATACATACATACATACATACATACATACATACATACATACATACATACATACATACATACATACATACATACATACATACATACATACATACATACATACATACATACATACATACATACATACATACATACATACATACATACATACGTACAAGTATTTTCTAATACTTGTTGTAGTATAAGGGAGTTATATACCCTTTTGAACGGTATATTAATTTTTATTTAATATACCAAAATTATGCATAAAATTGAACATTATACATGAAGTTTAGTGAAAGTTTGTAACAGTTTACTTTTAAATTACACATTTTAATCAAATTAATAAAACAGTACTTTTTTTTAAACTGTATATCAAAATTCTTTTTTTTATTTTTTGGCCATGCATTTTAAAATAAAACGGTTAAGTGTTTTTAAACTTTTTGTGTTTTTGTTGAGTATATATAGCGGTAACATATGTATATTTTACCGCTGTATATGTTACGCTTTTCAAAAGACTATGATTCGACTTAATATAATGCTAAAAAATTTATTTCATAAGATTTGATAAAAACCTTTTTTTGCTCGTTTGAAAGTTGCATTAATTTGGTTCATTTTAAGAAACCAAAACAAATAAAATCTAAGTTTCCGTTCAGACTATTGCTTGTTCTTAAATCTATCTATTCTTTGTATATATATACATATAAAAACAATACTTAAGACAACAAACATTTGTTTGTGTACTGGTTCGTTGAATAATGTATTCTTTGTAAAGACAATAAATTAATGCTCGTTTGCAAACCGAGTATTCAACGAATCTCAGCTGAGACGGCGTTATATTTCACGCCTCATTCAGTCTTATAGTTTAAACAACAGGTTGACTCTATTCAACCATGAAGACCTTGTTCAAGCGTCATTTTTGAAATAATTGTTTATTCTCTAAAGTTTCTTAAACAGTGTCTGGCTCATTACGCATGCGTTTTATATTTGTTTAATAAACTAGGAATTGTGATCGTATCTTATTTGAATCTCTGTTTGCTTTTCCTTGATTAAAATTATAGGATTTCCAATTTTATTTTTGAACACAAAGCAAAATGTCTAAAATATTTCCAAAAACATGCATTATTTCTAAACACTGCCACCAAAAAGCAACGAAAACAATGAAAATAGGATCATGGGTGCCGTATAGACCAAAAAAGATTTAAAACGATTAAAAAAATAACAATTAAAAAAAGGCACAACATTTTGTGGCTGTTTTATTAGAATTTTTTTTTTCTTTTTTTTTCTTTTCTTTATATCAGTTTCTTATGTGTAATTGATTGTAAATAATATGATTTTATATCAGGGAGAGATATAAAATGTAAGTTTTACAATAAGTAAAACTTACATATTAGAAATATCTAAAAAAAATTAGCAAACAAAATGAAAAAATTACAGAAAAAAAAAGGGAAAAAAGTTTTATAAAACATTGAAACGGAGCTATAATGTTGCGGCATTTAAATTTTCGATAGATGAGATATCAAAACAAATCGTAAATATTAATTCTATTCATCATTTAATGGTAAACGAGCTGAAAGCTTTTTTAAATGCCCATACAACAGTTTGAATTCGGCTTGAACGCGATGCATACAGTTTAAAAACGCGATTGAAAAAATCAACCAGGGGGATGATGTTTTTAAAACAGTTTTTAAATTTGTCTCAGTTTGTCAAAATAATCATAAATATAAAATAATGTTATATAAAAAGAAATTTAAGAATAACTATACGTGCATGATTTTTATTTAAAATGAAAAATGAATAATAATTTCTAATAAATATAATTTTCAAACAAATTAATCGCAACTTTTCGGTTTTCAAATTAGTTTAAAGTAGTGTGAGGACCCCCGTAATAATGATGCTCAAAATGATTGGTTTAGTCTCCTTTCTGTTTTAACATTTCACAACGACTCATTTTCAAACGCACTCAAAATTATAAATAATTAATGAGAATTTCGATTGGAACACTTTATTCGGGCATCGAATCTTCGATACAGTTTAAAGAAAGGTAAATTCATAAAAACCATTTCAAAATTCATCTGCATAAAAATGGTTTATATTGAAACAAAATATAGTGGATAAATTTCTTTTATATATATTTCTCTATTTGTATTCATTTAAACACAGTCGATCAATTCATTAGTTGAAGGAAAATCAAACGCCATTTCAAGTAAGTAATCACTAAATACTATATACGTCCATTGTTATTATTTACAATTCTTTATCTCAGTATATAATGTATATTATATACTGTATCTAATATACTATATCTTTAAAAAAATATCCTTTTATTTTCCGTATTTGTGTTTTTAATTTACCTGAGCCCCTGAATGTTGTGTATTTCTTATTAAGTTTTTGGAGATGACGATATTTTTTTATTGCTTTATTTACAAAATAGTCAATATTTTTTTCACAATATTTCAAAGTTTAAATAAAATAGAAATTTGTGAGAGTTTAAAATATAATAATCTATTCTAAATGACAAAATGCAATGTATGTATAATGCCCTAGTATAGCACCCTATTATAAAGCAGGGTTGTTAACACTGTTTTCTGCTGTTTAAACTAACTTCCAGACTTTGAGCAAACTCCAAACATATATATGTTCATTTTTTTGTCAAATAAAGAAGTTTTCCAAATTGTTTTGACGATTGGGCCTGCAAATAAAAAAAAAACAAAATTTTTGGACCCAAATGTGAAACCAACAATCTTAATATTTTTTGTTTTTTACTGCCCTCAACCAAGTTAATGTGACATTTATAAATTTTAAATTATGTTTATTAATCCTTTAGTGTTAAAAGATTATTATTTAAAATTTTCCCTTCTAAATAAAGGAGAGGAATTCAAAATTATATGGTCAACATTTTTGATCACTAAGAGATTATTGTATAAAATTTGAGAAATATTGATAAACACTAATCTGTTATAGAATAATAAAATACTTTATTTGCTTGTTACTCTCATTCTTAGGATATGGAGGAGGAAAAATTTAGTTTTTTTTTGTTTTTTGTTTTGTTTGCTAAGCTCTGGTTATTCTAATTTTTTTCAAAATGTATTAGCTTAAAATTAACATAAACATAAAAATGTTTGAAGTTTGCTCAATGTCTCAAAGTTAGCTTAAACACCAGAAAAGCGTGTCGACGCCTCTTTAAACAAAAATGAAAAAACGTTCAGATAAAAATCAACCTGTTCGTAACTACTTTTATTAGTTATTTTATTTTGTGTTTTATTTATGTTTACAATAATTTGTACAGGTGTAAGTTTTCAAAAAAATTCTAGAACATTTTTAATAAACCAAGCAAAAATGTTGTCACTGTTTTCTGTTGCATGGTTTTTATTTGAATTAAAACAAACGATACCTTAAAATATATAAAAGAAAAACTTATAAAATATATATATATATATATTTTAAATTGAATATATCAAAATTAAAAAATAAACTTATTTTATTATAACGATTTGTTTCATAAATAAAAAAAAAAAATAAAAAATTATTATTCATAAGGTAAAAACGCTGGTAAATATACGTGTTAATCAGTAAATATGCGCGAAAACTGATAAATAATACCTTTGTAAGGTAATTACTAAAAGTTTTTTCTTTAATAGAAATCATGATGCGTGATTCAAGTTCCCCGTATATGCCATCCAATGATGTTCCTGCTCTAACTAAAATGATTAATGATTCAGGCGAAGATGATATAGATCTTATTAAATCCGAACCGCGTGATGTTCAAAATGTTTTACATACAGATGCTAATTCAAATTATCATACACTGCAGTCTAACCATCTAAATACAAATCTTCAAAATCATCATTCTCCTATTCAAAATAACCACAATGCAGCTTTGTCAAGTCAATCGCCACATGCTTCGGTAAGTCTATTTTAGGTATATATATATATATATATATATATATATATATATATATATATATATATATATATATATATATATATATATATATATATATATATATATATATATATATATATATATACATATATATATATATATATTACAGTTTTGACATTATTTAATTTAATTAATTATTTAAAACAATTCGTTTAATTTTATACTTTAGGTTGAGGAAGATGACGATCATGTCAAAAGACCTATGAATGCTTTTATGGTTTGGTCTCGTACTGAGCGACGCAAACTTGCTTTGAAGTATCCCAATATGCTTAATTGCGAAATAAGTAAGCTACTTGGCGCTGAATGGAGTAGAATGGGCGAAGAAGAAAAAAGCCCATACATTCAAGAATCAAAAAGGTTACGAACAATTCACAGTCAAAAATATCCCGATTATTCTTATAAACCGAGAAGAAGAAAGCGCAAAGTAACACAAAATCAACCAACATACCCATCCATAAACTTCCCCTCTGCGGGTAACGCCATGCAGAATTATCAATTTCCAAGTTCAGCTTATCAAAAGTTTTCTAGCGACGCATTTAAAATGGGTGGATTTGGCCCTGATACTGGTTATCAACTTCCAATGCATGATCCAAATAAAGCTGCATTAAGTTATTTAAATTCAGCCACATTGGGACTCTCAAATGATATGAAATCATATTATAACTTAACTTCCCCGGCGGCAAATATGTTCTCTCCGGCAACTAGTCAGTATTCGGGATTATCGTTATCAGGTAATAATCAAACCAATTTATACTCTAATGGCTCGAACTATTTGCCTCCTTTATTCAAAGATCATCAATTTTAGTAACATTTTTTTCGCTCTTGAGAAAATCCGCTATACAAATTAACTTTAAAAGTGCGACTTACAAAAAGTTAATTTTGATGCCCAATAATCATGTTATTTGGCAAAGAAAAATTTAATGACATCCTAATATTAGTCAGCTCACAGCAGAATACCTTTTTTAGGTCATTGCTATAGAACATAACTATATTTATTCAAACATGATTTAAAACTTGTTTTTGAATAATGACGTCAAATGATTATTTTGTATAATAAGAAACAAAAAGAAACAAAATGTTTCTAACGTAAAGAAACAAAAAGTTTCTAACGAAGCAATTGAACTTTATGAAAACTTTCTTTTTAAATTTCTCATTCAGTTTTAAAACTTCTGAAACACTTAGACATATTACAAATAAAATCAATGTACTTTATAAAAAAGGAAAAAAGAAAATATTTCTTCTTAAAAAAAAAAGAAATATTTAAAGAGAATTTATATAAATATGATAATAAATGTAAAGTAGTCTAAAACTATTACTTAAATTTTACAGAACTCAATCTTGTACATAAAGCTGTTCTGCTTTTTATTTACTTTTTATTTTATTTTGTTAATATTACGTATATATATATACTTTTTATTTGTAAATATTCGTTTGAAAAACCTTTTGGAAATAAAATGATTAAGTTTTCTGCTTTTTAGTTGTTTATATATAATTATTGAAGACTTATTTACAATTTTGATCTTCAAAAGTTCGATTAACACAAGATAAAGAAAAATATTGACAACTTAAAAATAACAAAAAAATATTTATTTAACGGCAAACGCGTAAAACTATAAAAGGTTTGGTTGATTTGAAAAATGATTATTGATCCTTAAAGGTTAAATGTTTGTACTTTTTATTTAATTGTTTTTTTTTTTTTTAGTTTTTATCCGTTTCTGGGCGTTTTAAGTTTTTTTTATCGAATGTAGAAATAAGAACATTTGAAAAATGTCAAGTTGAACTTTCTGATCGATATGAATCCTTTTCTAAATTTCTTTCTCTCCCTCTCTCTCTCTCTCTCTCTCTCTCTCTCTCTCTCTCTCTCTGTATATATATATATATATATATATATATATATATATATATATATATATATATATATATATATATATATATATATATATATATATATATATATATATATATATATATATATATATATATATATATATATATATATGTATATATATATATATATATATATATATATATATATATATATATATATATATATATATATATATATATATATATATATATATATATATATATATAATTTTGTTTATTCATTGTTTTTGTCATTGGTGTCTTCGAGTACCTCAAAGCATTTTTTACGCCAAACAGTGAGCATTCAAAAACGGCTGAAAATCAACAAAAATTGACAAACGTCAATTTTTGAAATTTTTGAAAAAAAGAAATTTTAAAATAAAACTTGCTATAATATGAAATTGAAATAAGAAATGCTGTAAAACTTAACAAAAAATTTTACTTTTAATGTTTTTTTATTTTCTTAATAAAAAATAAAAATTAAACGTTAATAATTTTAAAACTTTTTAAAGTTCTTTTTTTTTAAGGCTTTTAAAGAAAAATAATATTTTTTTTTAATATGTAACTTTTTTATTTTAAAAATGTTTTATTATTATAAAAAAAACTAAAGATGTATTTAAATAAAAAAATTTTGTTCACTTTGAAACTTAAATATGAACGTGCTGTTTGATGAATAAAACATTAGCAAAATGATCGCATTTATTTATAACTAATTAAACTAATGCGTAATAAATTAAATATAACGCCTGTAGTCGAAGTTGAATTTGAAGTAAAAAAACAACGTTTTTTTTACTTGAAATCAAAAAAATGACTTTTCTTTAAATTTTTTGTCTGAAGTTGTACTATTTTTTTTTTAATTTAATTTGTAACCAGTGCTATTGTCGTTAAAAATTCCTTTTTTTTAAGGCCGGATGTTTCCTAGTCGGAATATTAAGTCAATTAAGCTTAGGTCTAGGTCCTCACACTTAATAGTATCCACAAAACTATGTGATCAGGCCTGAAGCAATTGGGGGGGGGGGGGAACAGGGGTATTTGTTCCCCCAATAATTTTTCAAATAAATAATTTTGAAGAAATTGACTAGAAAAATGACTTCAAAAAAAAAGTCCTTAAAACTATTTTGGGGTAGTACTGTTACCCTCCCCCCCCCCCCCTCAAAAAAAAAAAAAAAAAACTATTTTTGTTAAAATCTTTGAATCCGAACAAGAAGCCGTCCTTAAATAATGCCATTAAATAGAGGGGAAAGAGATGGTGCTGAAAAGCTTCATAATAATTGACAATTGTTTGAAGATTTTGAGACCAAAACAATGTCAATTTAAAAAAAAGTTATAAAAGTATATGCTTATGCTATTTATAGGTATTATAGGTATATTTAAAAAGAAAATGCTATTTATAGGTATTATAGGTATATTTAAAAAGAAAATCGCTCAAAAATAAAAAACAATACTTCAAAAAATAATACCATAAAAAATTGGTGGTAAATATGCTTTTTTTATTTTGTTTTAAAGGTAAAAATACTGGCTAAATTTTTAAGGAGAATATTTTTAAACAAGGAAAAATTACTGACATCATTTATGGATAGCCCCATTAAAGATTTTTTCTTTTTTATTCCTTATTGGTGCATTAATTCACTTACTTTGGAAGTCCTTTTTATTTTTTGTTACTCCACCTGTCTTACAAAGAATTCGTTTAACTATTGCCCAAAATTCTTCAATCTTGCACTCCTCAGGGCAATATGGAGGATTTGCATCTTTAGGGACAATTTTCTCATTATAACCTTTGTACAAATGTAGAACTTTTTTAGAACAGTGAAAAGCAGCAAGATCTGGCTAAAAGAGTCAACGGTATTTGTGTTTTTTCATATACAAAAAAAATCTTTTTTGGAGGCATTCTTTGATGTAGAGATCGGCATTCAAAGTCTTCTTAGTGATAAAACAAGAGGACTGTGTACCACAGCTACAAATTGCTTATCACACAAAAAACTTGGATGCAAATTTTTCTCGCTTAACATATTTAAATCGATCATCGACAGGTTTATCTTTGTTCTCATAGTTAAATTTTTAACCAAGGAAGTTGTGAAAAATCCGCCTTGCAATATGTTTCGTTGTCTTTAATTATGCACATACTTTTATCCGCCATTATTTTAACCAACTTCTTTGCGCGTCGAATTTCTTTTATTTCACCATTTAAGCTTCTCTTAGGTGTACTTTTCTTATGAAATGCTTTAATACCAGCATTTTTAAGTACATTTTTGATATAAGAACGTGAAAATTTGAATTTTCTTGCTAGATCTTGCTGTGCCTGTTTTGGATTTCTTGCTATTGAACTAAGAATTGACTTTACATTTTTAGGATTTATAGAAAATTTTTTTTCTTCCACTTCCAGGTTTTCTTTTGAAGTTTTCAGTAGTCTTGAACTTATTTATAATATCTATAACTGCAGATTATTGGCACATTTGTACGTTTAGCAATCAAGCAATATGAAGTCGATGAATTTTTGCGAAAAAAAAATTCACAACTTTTGCATGTCATTTATTTGTAAACAAAAGTTTATCAACACAATTAAAGATAAGGAAGTAACGTTTAATGAAAAAAAATAATAAAATAGAATCAATAAGCATTTGTAGTTTTTGAGAAATCTCAATTTAAAGTTGACCAGATTTTTCCGGGTCCACCCGTTAATTACACATAATTACATAATTAACTAAATAATTTAATTTAAAGTTGACTTAGTAGAGTTAAGTTAATAAATTAATTTCATTTTCATTATTACGAATTTCCAAATACAAATCCGACATTATAAAGATTACGTCATGTAATGATGTTATTAAATAAATTTAATATGTTTTCAAATTTCAATAATATTTTTAGATGCCATTAAAATGAAGAGAAAATTTAATAGTAATGCAAGTAAAAGACGGAAGGAGAAAGTTGTCTGAAGAAGAACGCACCAACTCGAAAAAAATATATATATTTTTTAAAAAATTATAAAATACAGTTTAACTTGAACTAGCAAACCAATCTCAAAGTGTCAGTGCCAGTGGTAACATTAAAAATGAAGTTGTTTGGCATGTTCCGATCGCAGAAGATCCAATTTTGGAACGACAACCAACAAGAAATTTGAATATTGTAAACCAGGAGCAAAATGAACCCGAAATCTGATTTCCGGAATATGCAAGTGCAAGTGAAAATGAAATTTGAGGTATAGAGCGAGAGGCAACAGAAAAGACTCAGCAAGGTAATCCGATCCTATTCCGGCCAGAATTATTTACATTGGGATTATCAACAAGAACAATTTTAGTGAAGTAAACTCTTTCCTTAAAATTACTTGCTTTGAAATTTCAAATAATATTGTTCAAGATTCTAATCATCAAGCATTTACATATTGTTTGGTAAATAAAACTTATGCAAATGGAGAATTATGTAAAAGAGACTGGTACCAGCTAGTGATGTAAATTTTCCAGTAAATTTACCGGTAAATTTTAATTAGAGAACGGTAAATTTTCCTTTAAAAAATCAAAAAAAAAAAAAAAGAAAAAAAAATAAGTGAAAAAAATTTTTAAAATTTACCAGGCGGTAAATTTTCAAAATTTTCCGGTAAATTTACCGGAAAATTTTCCGGTAAATTCTCCGGTAAATTTTATCTTCGCAACACTAGTACCAGCCAACATTGCCGTATGGTTTTTGTCGGGACTTACGGGAACGGGATTTTGACGAGTTAGTGTTTTTGTTTCCAGACAGGTCCTGTCACGATAATTTCGGTCCGCGACAAAATGACCGCGGACAAAATTTCTCAGAAAATATATATTCGGCCGGATAATTTTTTTCTGAAAAAATTGGTCTGAGCTAGAAAGAATTGGTCCGTGTTATAATTTAGTTTGCATGTGCGCATTTATCTTAAAAATTATCATGGAATATGGGTAAGTACATGATTCCATAGCGTAAAGTTAGGTCCCGGAAAATGTTCAGCAATTGTCCCGCTTCACGTCCAGGACAGTGTTAACATAATTAATTTTTACATTTATAATTTAATTTATGAAATAATTAATATTCTTCAAATGTGGAGCACGTTTTCACTTGGTTATCAATGAAGATTAAATTTAAATTGGTGAAAAAATTATTATTAGAGATAATAATAATTTAAATTTATTAGAAAAAACAACATTGAGTAGAGGTAATACAAGATATTTTAACCTTTTTAGACAAAATATTCTAAATTTTAAATATAAAAAGCTTATGTTGATGTTTGTTTTACTACTCGTTTAAAAACATTTCTCAGAATGTTTTTAAACGAGTAATATAACATAAGCTCTTAATATTCATTATTTAAAATAATTTTAAAAGGAATTTCCTCTACAAGTAGGTATGCGGAAACGCCAACAGGTAACATTCCATTTTTGTTAGAGAAAATTACACAGTATTATTAATAAAGAAATTTATTAGTATTATTACACAGTATTATTTATTAGGATTATTACACAGTATTATTAATAATGTACCCTATCACAGTACTGTTGAGCAAATGGCTCATGAATTAGGAAGTATAGCAGAATTAAAAGCAGCAGAATGGGCTATCAATAATTCTCAGCTTACTCTTGATTTAAT